CCTTGCGCTGGCAGAACGTGGAGCAGTAGTTGCCCTTGTGGCAGCCGGTGCACTCACTCATGGCCTCCCGGCCACAGTTGACGCAGGACTGCTGCAAGAGGACACAGACCAGTCAGTGACAGGGCAGGGGCGCCGGCTCGCAGAAGCAGCCCCCGGGACTTGCAGGGACAGAGCAGCCTGGGAGCAGGGCTGACCAGGCAGCTCTGAGGCACCGTCAGGGCGCTGTCACCCTTCTCCCTCTGCTCCTTTGTCTCTCACTTACAGAAAAAAAAAACCCACTAAAATAAAAACGCAAGCGTGCAGAGAGGATGGCATTGTAGTCTCCCTCTGGGCTCTGTCCCCAGCGTTGCCCAGAAGGCACGCTCTCATCACCTCCAGAGTCAGCCCCTCCCCTTCCCCTGCACATGGTCTGGCCTGCGCTCAGGCACTGGAGAGTCAAGGCGTAGACCGTCTGGCACCGAGCAGGCGCAGAGAACCACGCTCCAGAGGGAACTGAATGCTCCAGACCTGCGGGCTCATGGCCTCCAGCCCACGGAACCAGCCCCTGCCAGCGGGGCGGCACTGGCAGGGAAACACGCCTCTCCCGGGCAGCCACCCCCGCCTCTCCCAGCTGGTCTGTGTGCTTTTTCCTTAAGTTACATTATTGGAGCTTTGCCCCTTAATCCACGTACATAAGCACATCTGTCAGTGGTTAACTCGTGCGGCCTGACTAATGAAGGTCTTCGATGATGTGACAGACAGAGAAACCCACCAGGGTGAGCCTGGGCCCAGCCACCGCCCAGGAGGGGCCACGCACGTACCCGGCCGCTGCTGCGGGGGGCCGTTTGCTGCCAGGTGGGGCAGGCAGTCTGCCCCTCCCCTCCGGTGATATGACCCAGGCTAGTCCCAGGCGGACACCGCTTTCGCCTATCTGTGCAGTGACTACCTCTGCGCTTCTGTCCTGAGCTCGGCTTCCTTCATGCAGAATGCGGTCTTCACAATGACCAATACGTTTCTACTTGGACAACACGGGACATCTCAACATTCAGTCACTACAGAACACAGGCACTGGAGGGAATCGTAGACGGTAACTTACTTTGCTCTCTGCCTCCACTTTAAATGGCAAACGACTTCAAAAACCACAAGTCAACGAGAACCAAACCGAGAACTGTCCGAGAACCGTCTACAGGGAGAACAAAGGTAGCAGGAACTTCGCGCACTCCCTGCCGGTAGCTGATACCAGTGTTGGGTGAACTCGGGCGGCTCTGCCCGGGGTGCCAGCCCCGCCTGGCCACACCTTCCTGGATGTGACCCTTCCTGGGTGTGACAGGTGGTGGCACGCCGAGCCCACAGGCTGCGCAAGCCTTGGTCACAGTCCCGTACCGAGGGCAGGGGTCTGTGCTGGGTGTTCGTGTCCTCAGGATGGTGCCTGGAACAAAGCAGGCATTCCAGAGATACCTGACAGCGAGCCTGCCCTAGTGCGCCAGCCGCAGAGGGGGCTCCCTGGGCTGGCACCCTTCTGCCGTAGTGAGGGCTCTCAACGCCGAGAAAGAATTGTTTCTGTTTTTGCTTTTGGCATAGGGTGTGTGCACTCATCAGAGAGAAAGAGAGAGGGAGAGTAATTACCCCCTCAGGATGGCATGCTGAGACCCTCTTCTCCTGTCTTCTCTCAGGATTTTGGGCACACACACACTTGCACCTGATGTGATTTTCTTTTCTTTTCTTTTCTTTTTTTTTGGAGAGGTTTTTGCTATAGGGCGCGTGCGCTCGCCAGACAGACAGAGAGAGACAGAGAGACAGAAAGCGAGAAATCACCCCTCAGGGGGGATGGCCATACCGCAATCCCTTCTCTTCCATTCTCCTCTCAGAATTTTGGGCACGCACATGCACCTGGCATAAGTTTGAGCCACCAGGTCTGGGACTCGAATCGCAGTCGACTACATGGGAGTCCAGTGACACAGCCATTACACTAACTGCTGGTCCCTAATCTGGTGTGATTTTCAAGCCTCCAGGTTCAGGATTCGAACCTCGCAGTTGACCATGTGGGATCCAGCTGACTTGACCACCATGCCACCTCCTTAGCCCTAAACTTTATTTTTATTTCATGAGAAAGAAAAACAGAGACAGACAGAGGGCAGTATCCCCACCAGGGTCCTGGAGCCACGACCCACCCCAGCCTCAGCCAACCTAGGATCACAGACGCACACACCAGGACACTGGGGGAGGGCTGTGGACACAAGCCCACGTGGGCCAGCCCTGCAGGGCATTTACTGCTGCACTGCTGACAAGTGGCTTACCAACTTAACTAAAGGGCCCTCCTTCTGCAAGTCGCACGCCACGGCTGGGAACCTCACATCCGCAACACGACAGGCAGCATGCTGGGAGCTGTGTGGAGACTCCGGTAAATCACACAGGCTGCTCTCACTAGTTTTAAATCATACCGGGCCAGTCCTGCAGGCTGGTAGCTAAGGGAGCCGGACTCGCCATGGCCTACCGCGGTTCAAATACCAGGCCCCAGTGGCTTAAAAAGTACATTGTGAGCAAGCTACGGGCATGGAAGTTGGGGGGCTAGATCCCACATGGCCAACTCTGCAATTCGAGTCCCAGATCTGGTGGCATAAAAACTACACGTGTGCTGGGCGTGTGAACATGCATGCCCAAAATCCCAAGAGGAGAATATGAAGAGAAGAGAGCAACCTGCCCCCTCCCACCCCGAGGGATGATTTCTCACTTTTCCTCTCTCTCTGCTTTATAACTCTCCTGCAAGTGCCCTATGACAAAAATAAAATAAAATAAAATAAAATAAAAAGGAAATACTTTGGGCAGCATGGGGAAACGGAGGAAAAGACTGGCATGACTACGCCCTACTGGGAGGTACTTTCTCGCGCTCCCTGTTTTGGTGAGCATATGCCCCGCTGGCAATTAAAAATTATGCAAATTATCTACTACATGGAACTAACAGCCTTCTTCTCCGACATAGAGCCAACCAAGAATGATTAAGACCATAAAATCACTTATGAAATGCCCATTAATCCTTTAACTGTTGAGCAATAAATTTAACAATATATTTTTTAATCTTTCTGCAAATAGGGACCAACAGATGGCGTAACGGTTATATTGCTGGACTCCCATGTAGTCAACTGTGGTTCAAGTCCCAGACCTGGTGGCTTAAATTCACACCGGGCCCATGTGTGTGCATGCCCAGGATCCTAAGAGGAGAATGGAGAAGGGATTGCGGCGTGGCCATTCCCCCTAGGGGGTGATTTCTCGCTTTCTATCTCTCTGTCTTTCTGGCAAGTGCACACGCTCTACAGCAAAAAAACCCTCTTTCTGCAAATAAACTTAAAAAGCCTAACTTGAAAACTTGGATACACACAGGGCAGAAGAAAATCAGTAATGTGTTTTTTGTTTGCTTGTTTATTTTTTTGAGAGTTTTTTTTTTTTTTGAGAGAGATTTTCGCTATAGGGCGCGTGGCCTCGCCAACCCGACCGAGAAGGGCA